AAGTGAGAGAATTTGGATTTCGTAAGAGAGCTATTTGTGAGAAATTGTTCAACCTTTGAAAAAAATCCACGACTCCCATTTTATAGAGAGGCAAAGGAGTGGGAAGGAAACAACCTCTCCACCCACCAACTTCCCACCTCGTTACCATGCAAGGGAGTGAGTTATTTAATTAAATTAGAATTACTCAATTATGAAAGTAATTAATTAATAATAATTAAATATCATATATTTAACTAAAGTTTGATTTGAATCATATTCAAATGTATATCTCTCACTTAACCTATAGTTTTAATGCGAATATCATTCCCATTAATTTTAACCTATAGTTTTAATATGAATCCAATTCATATTAATTATTATTTGAATCTTATTCAAATATAACTCTCACATTATATAGTTTAATAATGAATAATGTCATTTAGAATTAACTTTATATTTTAATGTATCTATATATAGATGATATTAATTGTATCTTATACAATTAACCTACATTCCCTTAAAAAGATTGAATTTCCCTCAGCTTCTTTCACAAGTCTTGATCCTTGTTTTACCCGTTGTGAGCTAGCGGGAACCTAATGGACCTACACATCATAAGCTCCAACGATACAAGATTAAATGATTAAACGCATTAACCAAAATAACCAACATTCGTTAATTGTAGGTCACTCCACTAAAGACTCACAGCTGCACTCTTCGCGCTGTAGAATATTTTGCGTCCATGGATATTGACCATTAACAATAAGTCAATCATTGACGAGTGTTTGTAACTTCAAATGGGTCAAATTACCGTTTTACCCCTGAGTCACGTCTTTCTCCTAAAGTATCACCGATCCTCTAATGAACAACCTGTTTATGGTCTAACAATTAAATAGAAGTCCGTCTTAGTCCAATGAGAGGGTGGGGCTCTTTGTTCAAGTCCCGGAGTCAACACTTAAGAAAACACTCATCTACTTTCTCTAAAGTCGGGAAGTAGTAAATTCCATCTTGTAGTTATGTTCCCAACTCCCCACTCGGTCTCGTCCCCAAAATAGTAGGAATATTGAGTCGGCGACCCGGGCCACTCTTACCCATACAAATCAAAAAGATGATTCCTTATAGGCAAGAGTCCATAAGTCACACATGATTGAGATTGAGTTACCTGGTCTTCCTATGAAATAATAACCTATCAGTTAATGGTGTTGTTGGGTGTGTTGCCCTAAACTCATAGTTTGTATTTTGTAAAAACAAATGTCTATTTAATAAAGTTTTTATTCAATAAATTTGTTGTTGAATCATAGCTTTGCTTTGTCCAAAATCCAATAAACTAAACATCCAAGGTTATTTATGATGTAATCGAGATAATATATATACTGGGTATATAGTTGATATACGGGGTATATATTTGATATACCTCTGATATATGAATGGATAATGTAAAGGTTACAGACGACTCGATTCAGGTCGTTCGTGTAGAGACATGCGAGTGGGGTGACTGGTGGTTATGCTGAACGCACGCACTAAGCGTGGTAACAATTCTATAGATGCAAGCGCACACCTGTCAGAGTAATATAAAATGGATGGAGTATCCAAGTATCAATCCTCAAGGACTTCTAAATAATTTCCAAACTCTAAAGTTTTAATGAATAGTGAACGTTGAAATGAGTGATTCTTGTAAAATGGGAAGTGGTCACAAATAATGGTTTTGGATTTGGGATTTGGTCTTATAATGGTAAAACC